ACAGATTTATCACCACACAAAACTGCGCGAGTCAAAGTGTCACAGCCTTATTGCAACTATCCATCAAGCAGAATACTGTGGCCTACTCTTTGTGGTTGGATGTCCACCTGTGCTCGCTAATGTACCAGTTTGGGTCTTACGACGACCAGTATATGTCAGAGGAACATTACTGGGAATAAACCCAGCCGCAGTAGGCCATGGACTGGGATTGGGTTACATCTTGGGTTGCACCCCCCCTCTCCCTTTTTGCTATGCTAAATGATTATGCCCCTGCATGGAGCTATCTAATCCCAGGGGTACCGTCTGAGAGAGCCAAGGAGTTCTCTCTATATATATCTGGACGATGTCTGCAGAAATCTTCAGATGGTATTTGACAAGGAGCCTGCCAACGCTGTGCCTCTCAGAGTTTCACTCAGTGGCCACGCTCAACATGCAGCGACGTCTACTCTCAATATTCCCTTGCTGTTTTGTGTCAGTTGCAATCATTAGAAAATAACCACACACATGTCAGAATACTGAAGCTTCACACTAAATGACATAATTTCAGTAAACAAGCAGCTTGAGTGTTATTTTCCCAGAGAGGCTTGCCATTTTTGCATCAGACGGCATTGTGACCGAGCCTCAGCACAGTCAGAGACATACTTTCTCTAATGCAGTAACATTTTAGTCATGAGAGAACCTTAAATGTCTCTCCCGAGGGTCTTCTTATGCAAACATGATTTCAGGCACATCAGCCAAGCTCCTCCCTGAGCAGCGACTGAGGAGAACCGGAAATTCCATATGCATGGCGGGTTGTCACTACAGGCCTAACAGATTAACTAATACAGTGTTACAGTATTAGTTTTAAAGCCGCTGTGTCACTTAAATTGGCAAGGGGACAAACTGCACTACCACCACAAGACCACAAGAGTTGAAAGTCTGAGAGTCGATATGTTTGAGTTGACAATTTTGTGAATATCCATGTGAAATTTGGTTATATGACACCTCATCTGCCCATTCTTTTGCCCCCTTTATATATATATTTACTCATTTTATCACTATAAATACTTTTGTGGCCTCAGAGTTGTCTCATATTTTAATGTGGTTCTGGTATAGTGTAATTTTTTACAACCTTGTTTATAACCGTGGATGCCGTAAAAAAAAATCTCACATGGTAGGAAAGTAAGGGTAATGATAGCACAGTGAATGTGAATATGAATTCTGCTCACTGCTGCACCTGTCTCACTCAGCTGTCACCTCATGCAGGCGTCTGAATCAGGGTACAGAGACGATCGGGATCCCAACAAGTCAGAGAATGTCAGATCTGTCCGGAAAATGGGCAACTGTTGTCTGATGGCATGGTCTGTTTTTACAAAGTGTGTGTTGTGAGGAATGAATTCCTCATTCAGTAAAGTCAGACGCCATCCTCTAAGCTGTTTGCCGCCTCTGAGATGAATACTGAAAAGCTGCTTGGCTTTTTGAAAAGCTCATGTAGTCACCGCTTTCAATATAGACAGAGCCTCCTCATTGGCAGATTGTGAGACAATGGGCCCCTGGGTATAGATATGCAAAGGGCCCCACCACCTTTTCTACATAGGAGCAAGACACACTTTGTGGTGGCTTTGTGTCTCTTTGCGGCCATTTAGTGTCACTTTGGTAGTCATTTTGCATCTCTTTGTAGTCATTGTGTGTCTCTGTGTGGTGGTTTTGTGTCTCTTTGCAGTCATTTTGTGTCTGTGTGGTGGTTGTGTGTCTCTTTGTAGTCATTTTGTGTCTCTTTGTAGTTGTTTTGCATCTCTTTGTGGTCATTTTTTGTCTCTTTGTAGTCATTTGTGTCTCTGCGTGGTGGTTTTGTGTCTATTTGTAGTCATTTTATGTCTCTTTGTAGTTGTTTGGTTTCTCTTAATATTATTTTTGTATCTTTTTGTAGTCGTTTTGTTTCTCTTTGTAATCATTTTGTTTATCTTTGTAATCATTTCGTGTCTCTGTGTGGTGGTTTTGTGTGTCTTTGTGGTCATTTTGTGTCTCTTTGTAGTTATTTGTGTGTCTTTGCAGTTTCTTTGCATCTCTTTGGGTCTCTTTGCGGTGCTTTTTGTGTCTCTTTGTGGTCACTTTGAGTCTCACCCTGGTCAGTACATGTTACTTTGAGTGACATTTTGCAGAGGAAGGCTAGGGTGGCCCAAGACACTTTGGGCCCCTGGGCCTGTACCCGATAAGCCTGTTCAGTAATCCATCCATGAGCCTCCTGAAGACAAATAATTCAGCACTAATGTGACTGTTGGCAACGACTTGGGACAGAGAAAAGTACAGCAGGAGTAATCACAAACATATGTTTGTTCATACAGTAATTCATGTTGTTCCCTCTTAGATAAGAGATAATGAGTTTTCATGTCGCAGTACTAATTCAAATGCTAATGTGAAAGGAAGAACATAGGCTTGACTGTTTTTCAGATGCTTTCATCAGCTGTTCTGGTAGGAAGCTTTAGAGGCCTTGAGAAGCAGAGTTCTTTCCAAAGAGCACAAAATTATATGTCTGGAGATTTTTTTTACTTCAGCAGCCATGAAAAAGGAGCTCATGTCTTCAGAACGCCACCACAGCCTAAAAACTGCCTTAAATATTAAAGAGTTTGTTCTCGTTGCCTGTAGAATGTACTAATATAAAGAAAACTTAACTCTGCTTTATGTTTGTTGGCGCCGTCTTAATGTATAAGTTCCTTTAATTTTCCACTGCGAGTCAGAACGCAGTAGTTTTTCAGTATGGTCTGGACAGAGGGAGAGATTTGTGACTACTTTAATCAAAGCAAGCATATTGGGCCCTAGGCTATCTTTTTACTATGCCAATATGTTCAAGGAAACATCATAATGAAGCTTATTTTCATTCCCAGAATACCACAGCAAATCCAGTGTGCCATCACGAACCTCCCCTGAGTCCATTAAGTGAAAAGGCTGTTTAAGATAATTAGGATCAAATTGCAAATCGAGATTAAAACCAGTTCTGCACTGTCAACAGCAAGGAAGATAAGTAATGCTGCAGATGACAGCAGTGAATGCTTACAGTATTTACTACTATATAATTAGCATTTTATCTGTAAAATGTACACATTTGATGCATGTGATCAACATTCATATGTACTGTATAAACATTAAATAAAGCAAATTACTTAATTTGATAAAGCAGTGCTGTGTTTTTGAATATTCAGAGCCATTTCTGTGCAGCAGATGCATGTTACACGTTACATGCACTTACATGCATATTGAGAAAAAAGAAAACTTTTTCCAGACATGTGATCCTAAAACCACACGTATTACCCAACACTGATACTGATCCAGAGCAAGAAAAGAAAAGCAGATTGAGATTGTCAAAATATTTTTCTATTACTGAACCTGCCAAAGTCTAAGACAAAGTTGATGCCTGAATTACCAGGCCAATATCTTAAATTATAAAACTGGCAACACTTTTCCTGATATTGCTCATATTCAGCTACTGAAAGTCTGCCAGGCGTATAGCAACAATAATCTGTAAAAAAGGCCAAAGCCTGAGCAAGACAAGGATTATTTTAGTGGACATATCTAATAGCACTGGACTTTGGACTCCTGGCACTGAGTCATGGATCCATATTACAGACGAAGGCAGGTGCATGAAAGGGAAGGCGATCCTAAATATATCCCTGAGGATCCTTGCGAAGGCTGGAAGACACTTGGTGTGTCCTCAGGCACCGCAGTTGGGTGCTTCAGCGTTGCAGTAGCTCAGTATATGATATCTTTACAAATCATAAAAAGGGAATTTTTGGATCAAATAATTAACTTAAAATTCATAAAATGTAATAAAGGAATATGCACTGGTGTAGTGGTAGTTGATGAGGTGAGTGTAATTTTAGGGAGATGGGTAGGTTACCAAGGACAAAGTGGATATACTCTCTTATATGTTCCTTTGGCTTTTTGGCTGACAGGTGGGTTCACTGTAAACAGCCAGAAATAGAAGTGGGTATGTCCAGTATAACTGTGTAAACCCTCCACTACAAAGCTGACAATATGATAGAACTGTATAAAATATAATGCTACACATTCAAACCCTTTCACATTTAAAGCTACTAATAAATGTACTGCATATAAACTGAAATATTCATCTTTAAGACTTCATAAAGCAGTTAACATTTCTCAAATGCCGAGCCAATCAGCACCTCAGCTGCTGTAATTAAGGTATAAAGCCCATCCTGCCCGGCTGGTGCTGGACGCTGTGCTGCCACAGTCAAATGACACATCAACAGTTTACAGGGAGGATATCCGATACATTATCAGGTAAACACTTCCCTATCTTGCGCCCCCGAGATTGTGAACAATGCCTCTAGGGCTTGCAGGGCTTATCAAAAGCATCTCCTCTTAAACAGCACACTTGCCTTGAGCTACTACATATCATCCCAGAGGAACTTGCACTCACCCACCCACCCAAACACATTCACACACACACACACACATCAGTGGCTGCAAGTTGACAAAAAGCTTCAAAGTGTTATTGCAGCTGCCTGTTGTCCCCCTCTTAGCCTGCAACAGGACAAAATGAAACATTACAGATGGATAGGAGAATACCTTCACTATCAGAATAATTTACATGGAAAGCAGATATATCCCAAATTTTAGAAATACTAATTAATTTCAGAAAATTTTCCTGACACACTTAAAAGACCCTAAATAAAGAGATTAGCACCACATGCTGCTTGTTGTTGCCACAGTGGTAAAACTGTACTCAAGTGTCATGCAGAAGTGTGATGATGTGCTCATCCAGTGAGCTTCATCTGCATCTTCTCCATGTATTTAATGGCTTCTGTAACATTACCATTATGAAGTGGGAGCTGCCTGCATGTCCATCACACCCCATATAAAGGCGTATCAAAAGTCAAATGTTTGGGAGCAACGAATCGCAGAGCAGAGCCTTAAAAAACGCCCGGGCACCCACACACGCCCCCTCCAAAAAAGTATTGGATGTCTACAGGAATCCGGTCACCCCCCTCTTGAAAGTACATATTTGACAGGGTACAGTCAGGCAGAGCCTGCACTCCAGCTAAGCGTTCAGTTAGGCACAGACGCCCTAGCCGCTCTCCCACTCTCTCCTTGCTTTTCTTTTGGACGTTTTGGGGCCGAACAACAAATAAGCAGCCATGGATGCCATTAAGAAGAAGATGCAGATGCTCAAGCTCGACAAGGAGAATGCCTTGGACAGAGCAGAGCAGGCTGAGGGAGACAAGAAGGCAGCAGAGGACAGAAGCAAACAGGTCGGCTGATTTTTTTTTTTCTTCTTTTGTGGAAAATCCCAAAGATCCATAGAAAAAGCAGGAATACCAGCAGCAGTGTAAAGCTGCTGCCCTTTAAATGGAACGCCTCCTAAATACGGATTAATTACTTTCATGGATAATCCCAAATAAGGATTAAATTAAGAATCCTTCCTGATTTTTTTGGATGTTATAAATCCTCCTCTCAACTGTTTTGGTGATGTAAATATATCCTAGAAAATGATGTTGATAATTTAGAAAATGTGAATTAGACAGAGATGTTGTTTCATTATGCATGTTCAATTAATATTCTGTTTAACTTTATGATGTTTTTTATATGCATGTGTAGTTAGAGGACGATATAAGAGAGTTGGAAAAGAAATTGCGTGTTACTGAAGACGAAAGAGATAAAGTGTTTGAAGAGTTCCAAACTGCTGAAGAAAAGCTGCTGACCGCTGAGGAGGTCGCCACCAAGGTATATGTGCATGAGCCTTCCCTAACTTTTCTCTTCTCTTCTTTCCCCTGTCCTGTCCTGTCCTCTCCTGTCCTATGTGTGTGTGTCTCTCTCTCTATCTGTATGCGCTCTTGCGCCTTTGCGCGTTCACGCATCTCCTCGCTGATCACCCCTGAAACTGTCTGGGCACTGAAACTCGCCTCAGCTTGAGGACGATTTGGTAGCTCTGCAGAAGAAGCTGAAGGGAACTGAGGATGAGCTGGACAAGTACTCTGAGGCTCTTAAAGATGCCCAGGAGAAACTTGAGCTGGCTGAGAAGAAAGCCACCGATGTAAGTAAGGAAGGGGTTCACAACGGCACCATTCCTGCACCACGCTTCTTCACACCTTCATTCTCTCATCACTCCGAGTGTGGGAAGCGGCAGTTCAACACAGTGTGGTCATTCAAACTTGACCATCAAAGTCCAAATGGATTTTTGTTCAATTGTCCAATTACTGTTGAGCTGTCGCTTCATGGATCACATGCACAATCACTTACGCGTCTGCCCAAAGAAAGTCAGACTGGCTAATTGAAACACTCATTTATATCATTTAAATCCCATATTAAACCCCATATTGTGTAATCACACTGTGTTTTAAAGGTCTGGGTGTGTTCACTCTTAAAGGTCTTGGGCTGCAAAGTCTTTTCCAGAGTGCACAGTGGAGTAGCCTAATGCGCACTCTTCCATAGAGCGCAGAGAGCAAGCGCCTGGATAAATATAGCCCACTGCTTTATATGGTCAAGATAGAGCTCACATCTGCGGGCTGCGCTCTTTGCTTACCACAGGGAAAAAACACTGTTTCCTTTCAAAATGGCCCAGGAAGCCAACTAATTTAACAAAACACACAAAAGTTTATCTACAGGAAAAATTAAATAAATTACTCTTTTGATTTTTTTTTCACCCTTTTGGATAAACACATGGCAGGAAAATTATGCAAAGAATTTAAATTTTGGCATTTTAAAGGGGGAAAATACACTTTAAGTCCCCATAGACTTTTTACCCACACAAATTATCCCTTGAATGACCAACTTAGGGTGAGTTGGGTCCAAGTGCAGGAGACACTTTGTGCACAGGAGTCAATCAGGGGAATCAATAAGTAGTGTGGCTTATAAGTGGCCTCCGGGATAACCCGTTGTAATAATCCTTTAATTGGATTCCTCCGGGGAGTTAGGCCTACCACTGACTGCTTTATAGTGAATTTTAGCCTGTCGCGCTTGATGGTGTGTTTTATTCCCTATAGGCATATATAGCTGTAGTTAATATTCCTATAGGGAGGTTTAAGTTTAACTACTACTACTTTTATTGCCTCCCTTTTATACTCTTTGTGTGATATTTGCAAAGTCAAAAACGTGGCATGTAATTACTGAATTCACTGAGGCGTATTGAATGGCCTTCAGTCTGTTGTACTGCCACTTGTACTGCGCACAGTTGATCAGCAGAAGGCGCTGTGGCTCTGTCAGCTCACTACAATGCTGTTCATTATCACAGTGTATTGGCAGGGTGTGTTCTTATCATTAAAAAGCCATTCATACTTTGCATCAGTTACATTTCTCATTGTATTATTTTATGAATCAATGCAGCAGGATTTCGCGGTGCAAAAACCAAGCAAAACCAAGCACTATAGTTCATTTTTTTAAAGCTGTATTTTGAAACCAGCAGCACTTCCTGGACAAATGAGAGGCATTGCAGAGTGCGTCTCTCCAGAAAGCGTGCGCACCTTTTCACGCAGCTTTCAGCACCATCAAGGACGTCATCTCGCTCCTTGGCAATTTCTCGGAAATTGTGCTGCAGCTCATAGTGTAGTCTGTTTTTTTTAATTTCCATATAGCATATAGGTGTAGAGTAAACAATGGCTGGGGCTACATCGCTGGAGGCGGTCAAACGAAAGATCAAATCTTTGCAAGATCAGGCAGACGGTGCTGAAGAGAGAGCCGAGAGATTGCAGAAGGAGTTGCTCGCGGAGAGGAAAGCCAGGGAACAAGTAAGCATGTTTACCGCGCGTGCAGACTAGACAGGAGCTGCTGATCAAAATGACACATCATCCTCTTGTAGTGTTTCTTGTATACGTGTTCTGTTGTAATGATACACAGTGAGATAGCGGGATTTCTCCGGTGCAAGCTGAGCCCTACATGGCACCACGCAGTGCCACCACATAGTAGGCTACTCCACTGGCTCTGATAGCCTGCTGCTCCCGGCTAGGCGCTTATAATTGGTAACGTTAGGCCGCTGATGCCCAAGTCAGAGCACTTCACTATGTTATAGGCTCATGTTCCTCCCTGCTGTGTCACACTTGCGTTTCCTCTGATGCACTTTGCCGTTAACGGTCCAATTCAACCTGCTTTCCAGCAACTTCCGTTTATTCTTTTTTTCTTCAGGCAGTGGCAGGTTAAACATTTGAATAAACTATTTTCAGCAACCAGGAAGTCACAAGAAAACTGTGGCAACATTTAAGGTGCCAGGCTGCAGCGTGTAGTGTGTGCAGCTCATGCTCTTTGACTTGCCCTTATAAGGACAACAGGTTTTCACCACTACAAAAGAGTGATTTCCCTTCGTGTGAACATAGCAGCGGTTATCTAGACGGGAAATAAATCTTTCTGCAGGGGCTCAAAGCAGTCTGAGCCTATCTCACACTGGCAGTCTCTCAGTTCTGTTCATCAAAGTCCACTGAATGCACTTTAAAGCATTGCTTCTTTTTATAGTTTATTGGTAACTTCCTCCTGACACTAACTTCAAATGCACTTTGGTCCAGCTCAGCACAGGAAACAGAGTCAGTCTTGTGGTGGTTTTCGCCTTTCGTGCACTTTCAGGACAGTGCAAGTCTGATACCTGCTGAACAGGCAGCATAAAGCAGAAGTAGCCACAGGTCTGGATAATCATATAAAAGATCTTTGCAAATGTGACTATTTAAATCGCACGTAATTGTCTCCCACAGTTATGAACCATCCAGGGAGTCTCCTCTGTGCACCATGTGAGCAGTCATTTACAGTTTAATTGTCTCCCTTTGACTCGAGCCTTGTTAATGTTCTCTCGAGGGCCTAGTAATAAGGCAGGGTATTCAACCTTCTGTCAGCTCGGGACATTGTTATCATTATACGTGAGGAACACAGGCAAGACTCTTGGGAGGGTTTTGCCCAACAGGTGGCACACTGAAACAATTACGACCACAAAGAAAATCAAATCCCCCTCCTATTTATTCATTCTTTGGGCTGACGTGTATGTGTTGCACTTGTGTGATTTCCAGGTTGTTTGGTAAAGATGTCGATGTCCAGATTTTCTCCTGACATGCTCCTCTTCTCCCCCTAGGCTGAGGGAGATGTCGCATCCCTTAACAGACGTATCCAGCTGGTTGAGGAGGAGTTGGATCGTGCTCAGGAGCGTCTGGCTACTGCCCTGACCAAGCTGGAGGAAGCTGAGAAGGCTGCTGATGAGAGCGAGAGGTGGGTTCTTATGAGCGGTGGAGACTCGGTCCCTTGATCTCTGCCGTTACGCTCTCGGAGGCCAGGTGGCAGGGCTGTTTACCATCCCTTTGTATGGAGCACAAGCAGGGCCTCTGTGCCACTGAGTTGGATGGCAGACAGTTCACTGTCACACTAGCTGTGTCAGATAGTGCAGTCATTTCCTAACAGTCCTAAAGTCTGTATTTACTCCCTCTTTCATGTCAGAAAACAAATAGCCTTTCACTTTAGAAGGATTTATAAAAGATTTAGCAGCCAACACCATTGTGCAATAGACATGTGTGTCCTCAGGGAGACTGTAGGCTGTCCGGTCTCAGCTCCTGATCTCTAACACCCCTGACTGTTTGTTCCCTCACACAGAGGCATGAAGGTCATTGAGAACAGGGCCATGAAGGACGAGGAGAAGATGGAGCTGCAGGAGATCCAGCTGAAAGAGGCCAAGCACATCGCTGAGGAGGCTGACCGCAAATATGAGGAGGCGAGTTTTTCAGCCTCTGCCAGCCACAGCAAAAGACTTGTGCAACGTCAAACACACATTAGAAGCTCATTATCTGCAGTCAGCAGTTCTGTGACAGACATATTGATGATAGGCGGATTTCAAGATATTTGTTTAATAATACATAAACTTTCCTGTTTTACAACTTGATTAGGAAGCGCTGTTACCCAATTATGAGTTTCAGATAACACTTTGTTTTACTTTAGCATATATATAGGCAGCATATGAACATTTATTAGATTGTTTCTAACACACTATGATGAAGTTTTAAGCAGATTTAAGAACTTATTTATGTTTTTATCAACAACTATTAGTGCACACCCATAAATGGAGGCTGGTGTCCAAACAGATAATGAATGATAACATAATGAAACAAGCAGTGATGAAGTATATTTACTTAAGTACTGTACCTAAGTACATATTTGAGGTACTTGTACCGACTGACAGAAAATCAATTGAGAGACTATTTTGTTATTTTATTTTTGATTCTTTCAGTACATTTCCCGATTGTACTTACACACTTTGACTTAAGTAACATTTTCAATGCAGGAATTTTACCCACTGGAATATTTTTACAGTAATGAATTAGTACTTTTACTCAAGTAAAGGATCTGAAGTACCTCCACAACCAGTGGAGGCATTATGGAAAAAAGGAGTATGTTTTTTGACAAATACCAAGCTTATATCTGCTTACATCTTCATTTTAGTGAGTTATAAACCACTGGTTTCCAACCTGGGAGTCTGACCCCCACTAGGGGTCCCCAGAGCTTCATGGGGGTCACAGGCCGTCTTGATTTTAAGGGATGTTAGACGCTTTTCTTAAAAATATAAAGTAGCCCTATCTCATAGCATTTCTATTCTGGAAAGAGAATTAAATTAAATTGTTATTTTTTCAAGTTTTAGATTATCGTTTAAGATATGAACACAAAAAAATCTCACATGATTGGGGCACAGTGTAGACCTGAAAACAAGCTTCACTCACAGAGCACTTTCTGCCAAACAGCCTCATCCTGCATTAGAAAAGCACATAGTTAAAACAACCAAAAAGCCAAAAGAACAATAAACAAGTGTCAAGGAGCACTGAATTTGTCAAAAAAGAAGCTTATGAAGTATTTATGATTTTTAAAACTAAATTTAAAAAACACATAATATGATAGGGAATCATATAAAATGTAAAATGTCATATTCACAGGAGATAATCTGCTAAAAATTCATAAAAACACTAATTTTATGCAAACCTCTTGCAGTTATTGTGTTCAATATTTAGGTTAATTGTGCAGTTTACCAATTGTTCTGCACTGCATTGAATATAATATGAAATATCCATAAAATATGTCACTTAGTCAGGGGTTGTAAGTTCACTTAGATAAGGGATCCTTTAGGAAAAAAGGTTGGAAATCGCTGTTATAAACCATATGTTGAATATATGTATCATATCAGGTAAAGTATTACCAAGTGTAGTTTAACCATATTAGAGTTGTACACTTTCACTGTGAAGAAAAACCCTTAAACCACGTCCTGATTGTGTTACAGTCATTATGTATTTGTTGTGTTGTAACACTTTGTTGTGCTGCACCTAAAGGTGGCCCGTAAGCTGGTCATCATTGAGGGTGACCTGGAGCGTACAGAGGAGCGCGCCGAGCTGTCAGAAAGGTAAGACGTTTGACTTTTACACGCACTGAATCTGCACTCATACTTGCACGTGCGCTGGCATCTCACCAGTTGGAGCTTTGAGCGTTCATACACACAGTATCAGCCTTGTATTCATTTGAACAGTGTGTTCCTGTGTTGTTACTGTATGTGCTGATTATTTGCATGCTCTCCATGGTTTGAATGGTTCTGGCTTGTGCACATGCGCCACACCCACTAACAGACGGGCTCGGAGAGCGGAGGATGAGCTAAGGGTTTTGGAGCAAAGCATGAAATCAATAAACTCCTCAGTAACACAGGTACAACAAACGACAACTAACACATACATATGTGACGAGTGGCTCTTCCCACTTTCATTCAAGCTGCTGAGTGCACCCTCTGCTTTGCTTGCTGTGCTCGTTCTTTTCCTCTTTTGTGCTCTTTTATTTTGGGTATGTTGGGCTCTTTCACGCCTCTAACATGGCAGAGACTGTGCACGAATAACACCTCACATTTCAGAGAAGCATGATGATTAGATGCTGAAATACCATATACCAAAATATTATTTATTGCAACCACTACATTTAATGTGAGTCACGTTGCTATTCTCACACTCCTGCTCTGTTAAGGCACGTTTAACATACTTGGGTTTCCCTCCTTGTTTAATCCCTGTAGTTCTTATTTATCTTGTTTCCTCTCCCCCTCTTTCTTATGTTCCGTCTTCCTGTTTTGGTTCTGTCAATCCTCCTCCCCTCCTTCTCCTCCACCCCCTTCTTCTTCTTCTCCTTTGCGACTTTATCCCCTTGTCTAAAACACCAGCAAATGCTCTGAGCTTGAGGAAGAGTTGAAAACTGTGACCAACAACCTGAAGTCACTGGAGGCCCAGGCTGAGAAGGTAAGTGCGACCTTCCTGCAGAGTGCATGCTGTCAAACCCCTCGGCTCCCCCTTTACACTGGGTGGATGGGGAGCAGCAGAGCCTGGGGAGCCATATCTCTTCACTTCAGTTTTACTTCACAACACCTATATGTATACATGTATTTAAATGTGTTTAGATACACAGTGTGCACATATGTTTGACACCTATCCTTGTTTTTGTCCCACAGTACTCACAGAAGGAGGACAAATATGAGGAGGAGATCAAGGTCCTCACCGACAAGCTGAAGGAGGTAAAGTTTCACAAGGCCTTATCTGGAGCTCCAGGCTGACTCCTGGATAATAAGTCACGGGTGCTGTGTCAAACTTCCAGTGTTGGACTAACTCATAAATCTGTCTCCGTAACACAGGCTGAGACTCGTGCTGAGTTCGCTGAGAGATCAGTAGCCAAGCTTGAGAAGACCATTGATGACTTGGAAGGTATGGTTTTAGTGCCCCACACCCCTGAATGCTACTCTGGTTATTTGGAAGTAGTTATTGTGTCAGTGATGAATGAAAAAGCTCAGTGCATTTTTAAAAATCTCTCCAGCCCATTATTTGCTTCGCTCTTGAACTCCTTTTCCGCTTTCCTCTTAATGCCATCATGGCTCCTTTTCAGACATCATACTTTTGTTGTCGTGACTCTTAACCTTTCTCTATTAAGTGTAGTTGATTTGTTTTTGAGTTTCAAGGTAGGAAAGAGCAGCTTTGATGTTTATCAGTGATATCAGGCCTACATGTTGACTTAGCGTTCAAGGAGTCATAGTGAGTGCTCAGGGCAGACTGAGTGAAACATACGGTCCGTTTCTTCATGGCGTTGAGGCATTTTCCCTGACTTTTGTTGCACTTCCATTCCATCATTTTCTGGTGTAACTTTGTTTTCCTCTTTTCCAATTTTTTTCTCTGTCACCTCTTCCTGTCTTCCTCTCTCTCTCTCTCTCTCTCTCTCTCTCTCTCTCTCTCTCGTGTCAATGTTCTGGATGCTTCACCCTTCACCTCCTTGCCATGTGCTCCTTCACCTCTGCCCCCTCCCTCCCCCCTGCACTCCCCTGGCCCACCAATAGATGAGTTGTACGCTCAGAAACTGAAGTACAAGGCCATCAGCGAGGAGCTGGACCACGCCCTCAACGACATGACTTCCATGTAATTTTCAACTTGCTGCGCCTGCTTGTTCTGCCGTCACCCTCTCTCCCCCTGCACCTTTGTCCCCCCTGTACACCAGCTACCTCGCCTTCATCTTCTCCCTTATATTTCCTTCTACCCATCAGAACTAGTGCATCCAACCCCTGTATCTGTTCCCACACTTTAACTGGTTGTGCAGCTGTGTTTTTATATAGTCTTAATGTCTTCAAACAGACATTGTGCTATTCCGTGTCTGTAATTGAAGTCCACTTGCAATAATTATTACTTTTTACAAGTGGTTTAATCTCACACTTCTTCATGAGTGTGATTATGATGATACTAAATGCCCTTTGTATTGGTATCATTTGTGTTCTTGAGAATGCTGTGAACTGGACTGAGGTAATGTTGTGCATTTTCGATTTTGTCAGTCATTATTTTTTATAGTTTTATAGATGAATATTCATGATTCGTGTTTAAACGTGCTAAGCAATGCATGCAAGTTGCCTATTGAAATAACTGTATTACAAAAGCATTTCAGTGAATCTGATTGGCTCACTGTGAGGCTCACTCGAGGTTGTGAATGTTTCCTCTTTCCTCCTCTACTAACATGGTCTACTTCTGTTCAGAAGAAAGGCCCCCCCCCCCGTGTGTATGCGCGATCCCCCTCTGTTCTGTTGTTGAACCAGCTGAAGTTTAACTGTCACGGTTTAGCATCTCTGTGGTTGAACCCCATGTTTTGCTTAAGTTATGTTTTCCCTTAACTTTCGGCCATTCTGTGGGAGACTGCCAAAGCACACCACATCGCTCCTATCTAGCGCCGCTCCTCGTGTTTTAGTAGAAAAGGTCTTGATGTAATCAGAGGGAGGAGTTGGTCCTACTTCCCGTTTGTGTTTGTCAGTGTGTGCTACCTCACAATGCATTGCACAGTGCATTGTGGTTTTGTCATGTCATGTTGTCACTCCTGTGGTTCTGGTGTATTGTGGTGCACATCTCAAATTCCTGTAGGTCCCACGCCGACCCCCTGGTTCACTGTACTTCTTCTCTCCCACACAGATAAATATTTTACACCTCATCAAAGACGCCTCCTGCCGGCTGAGCGGCATCTGTCTGCTCTCTCCAGCCCTCTCTCAACTTTTCCTTTCCCCTCTGTCTTTGCTTTCCTTTCCTCCTCATGTCTTCATCCTCACGTCAAAGTTAATTGCATCCCATCACTTGTACAGAATCCTAGACTCTTTCTGCATTGTGTAAAAAATAAACGTCCTTCCTTCTATGTAAGCTGTATCTCTTTTCTCTGTCCTTTGTTTTTCTTTTTAATTTATTTATTTTCAAGTGGCTCTAATAAAACCAGGAAGCCTTGATTTTAAGTTATGTTTTCCATTTTGTTTCTGCATCTCAACAAACCATTAGCCGAGCTTTTTCCCTGCTGTCCTTCGTTCTTGTTCTTTTTATTTTCTTCAAATATTGTTCTGTGAAGCTGAGATATTAGGAATATCACAGTGGTGCCATAGGCACAGAAACCTAGAACAACCACAGGTACTTGACTGAAAGCTGAGCCAAGTTGTCTTCTCGCATTTGAGCCTGATGCATGTAAGCACTTTTCAACATTTAGTACTGTGACAGGAGGAGCTGACTGGAAAGATTTGAGAATCGTAGGGGATTAGTGTTGGATTGCTATCCGCAAAGATTGTGGTGAAGTAGAGTATACGGTGTAAAGGTGGAATATAGAACAGTATGTAAGATTTGTTGAGCCTCATCTGGTTGCTGGAAAAATTAGATGAAACTGCTATCAGTGATGATAAGACATGGGCTTTGTATGATACACAGTATCCTGTCATATATTTAAATAAATATACAAACACACATTCTGAGTCTTTTTTATTAAAGTCATTCTCAGAACTTCAGACACAGATGATAAGCAGAAGTGAGCAATGTTTCTGGTGCTGTGTGTTTAAAGACATCATAATTCAAATGTGACTGCAGAACGATTATTGAACCACATCCTTAAACTCTTCAATATGTCATACACGTCTGAGGCCACAAATTGTTGATAATCAGTAGCAGTTTATCCAGGTTTGATGCTGATCAGCCTCATTTAAGCATTTAAGATGCACTTGATGGAGAATATTATGACAAAAATGACAGATGTAGTTAACTATTCATTACTTGGTCTTTTTTGTTCCTGCACTATTCAGCTTTAAAGAGCTTATTTTAAAGTATAACTCTCGTCATTTTCAACCTGGACCCTATTTTTCCATCGTTTTCTGTCTAAAAGACTGATAGAGGCAACAATTTTTGAAATAGGTCCATTATTGAACACCAACAAAACAGGCTGCAGTGTTACCACTCAAGACAATTGGCACCGTCAATTTACATCAGATTATCATTATAAGTGTCCGACAGCATTGTAGATGATGATAGTCCATTTTGTCAAAGAGTAGGATATATTTTGCTCATCCAGAAACAGCCTTGATATTGCTGTCACCAAACCCACCAGACTGCATTTAAATAAACTGTAATTTAAGCATGTATAGAGCCAGTGTATTTTCACATCTAACTGGCTGAATTAAGGGTTTATTTTAACCAAACCACAGCTGGTGATTGTTAAAACAGTAGAAAGATGCAGCAGCACAGCTTTTATTAGTTTTATTTTGTTTCCGTCAGCTTTGAATGAAGTGTGTTTAAAGATGATAAAATTACTGTTTATTTAAATGGAGTCTGGTGGCTTCGGTGGTGGTGATTTACAGGCTGTTTCTGGTTAAACAAAAAGGATCTTACTCTTTCACAAAAGGTTGACCCCTGTAGGAATCCTGTAGAGATAATGCTGTCAGACACTTAGGCCTATAATGACAGTGTGATTGGCAAAAACAAGCACTTTTAGCGGACGTAAATTGACAGTACAGTATGCTTTAAGTGCTTACACTGCAGCGTGTTTCCCAGCTGCCAGCTGCAGCGCTCTCACTCAATACTGGACTAATTTCAAAAAGTGTTGCTCCCATTAGTCACATAGATACAAAAACATGGGGTCCAGGCTGAATAATACCAAGCTACCCTTTAAGCTGCCATTTAAGCCTTTAACCTCTCTGGGTTAAACCTGCTCATCCTCTGTTTTCACTCTACACTCTGTCCTTCCTTGCTTAAGAGTGGATTTCCAAACAAGAACATCAAAACACTGCTTGACTGTGGTATTTAAAAGCTACTCAGATACTGTCAGTGTGTTTTACAAAGATTAAAAAAAAAAAAAAGTCTCTGGAGATCTGTTCCAGAGCAGGTAGGTGTCAACAGGCTCTGTCCCTATTTTACTCTGACTTCCTGTCCTCTCTCTGTTTTTCAACTTGCTCTCTGACTGCAAAGATCGCCTCCACCAGCAGCTACAGAAAAACCGCCTTCTCACTAATGAACTACGCGTGGCCTTGAATGACGACTAAATTGTGTGAATGTCTTACGTGTTTGTTTACGGTTTCATGTTTGATGTGTGTATGTGTATGACAATCCGATCCAGAGCGAGATCCAAAGCTCTTCCATTTGCATTGTCCACGTACGATGCCTGCACTGCTTGAAATTTGTGTTGCTGTTTGTTGAAATGTAAAATACAGTGAAAATCAGGGATTAACAAATATATCATTTTCTAGTCTTACAACCTAGCATTATAATATTATACAATAATCATTTTTATGGATTGTTGTTGTGTTTATGTGCATTAATAAGAGCTTTGTTGTTACCTGTTCGCATGGTGGTTTGCACATCATAATATCAGCTTGTTTCCTATCAGTGAAGTGTAGGGTTAAAAGCACTCAGATGTAATGAATGAATGAATGAGTGATGTAGCCAGCTTGATTATTAATGCAAGCTAACTGACTGACTCCCTGTTGCTCGCTTGTGTGAGATTAAAACTTCTCCATTTGATGTTCTAACAGAGAAACTGTCACATGCTAAAGAAGAGAACCTCGATATGCACCAGATGCTGGACCAGACTCTAATGGAACTGAATAATTTGTGAAAGCACAGTCTGACCCCCACACGCACTGTGGTTTTGGCTTTTTGTACTTGCACCTTGCTTACCGTAAACCCCTCTTCTCGTACCTTGCCCATGGTGGAGATGAAACAGCCAGATGCTTTTCCTAATGCACCATCCTGCCTTCAGCGGAACTCGACCAAGGAGCAAAGCTAAGGGGAAGTAAAGCTTAACCATTCCCTTTGATGAAGCCTAAACTGAGAAACAAGATTGTTTTCGCAAGCCAGTTTTTAATTTTGTAACGGTGTCTGCCTTTTGCAACCCTTGAGATAGTTGTTTTTTTTTTTTTTGTTAGTTTTTTTGACAAGTCATCTGGTGAAATGTCATGTGCAAGATTGTTTTCTACGTCTGCATTGAAGCTGATCTGGTACATTCCATTCCACCTTGATAATGCACAGACCAAAGGACAAAGTGGAGAAATTTTGCACTGAGTTAAACCTCAGCATCATGCACATTTTGAATTCTGTAAGACAAACTAAAGAGATACATTCCCCCTGCCCAGAAACTTTCCTCACAGGTGTAAGTATACATTGGCAGTGACTGTCAGCGTGTATACTGGTGCTACTCTATTCTTAAGCAACAACCCAAAATGCTGATGCATTATAGTAAATTCTTATTCTTTAAAATCATGGTTCAAAATTTTTTCATCTTGTCTGCAAAGTACGGTTTCAGTCATCTGGTTGTGCATTGTTTTAGCATTGTATTAATGTAGATGTCTCAAGTGTTTATCATATCTGAAATGTAAAAATTATGAAAATAAATAAAAGCACGTTTTGAAAGTTTTTTAACTTTGTTTGTCATGCATTTTTAGCCTTTTTGTCCATCACAAAGGTGACATAAAATGAAAATCCTACTAGAATTTGGGGTGATTGAGTAAATCCTGATGCAATGCCAAGGAAAATAATATTTACAAGACTTCATCGTCCTCACAGAGGGGGAGAATGTGTTAAAGTTTCTGAACAAATGGAGATCATTACTTGCATTATGCCCGGCTCATTTTTTGCTTGACCCTCACTTTGACTTCCAGCTGAGGGAAAAACATTGTCATGTGTTTCTTTGGTTCACTGGAGCTCACTAAGTACCACTGGACCATATCAGTTCAGTTTCAGAATAATCAAGCTGTGTAGCAATGGTGGAAAAATATCCTAAATGTCTTTAGTTGAGTAAAAGAAGAAAATACTTAAAGATACATCTTGCATTTAATTTTTGTATCAAGGTAAAAGCCTTTAACCTGAATTAGGAGTCTTTTGTTTGTGTGGAATTAATTTTGCATTTACCTCTAAACTGTGTTGGTGTCATTTATCAGTATATAGTTGGAGAGGTTATTCAAACCAGTAATCTACTGTAGTTTATGACCTTGTCATAAACTATAACTTTATTATGGCCTATATGTTTTGCATGCTATCTAATTTTACTCAGTAGCCATCAACACAGTCAAACATTTCCCTCTGACATGTAGTGAAGTTTAAAAGCTTGCAAATGAATCAAACTATACTGCAGTTTGAAGGGACAGCAGCTCAAGACCTTAAAGAGCAGAGAGATGAGAGAGAGAGGCCTCGGGTCATTTAAGGCAAAACCCCACCTGCTGGCAGCAACAAAAAAGATTGGTTTTAGTGGTACTGAGTAACTTATAAATTAATATAATTCTGGATTAAAGCCTGACATGAAAACGAAAAAAAACCTTGGTTGCTATTTGTCATTATTATCATTATTATACAATTTAAGGTCAGTGACTGGATGTAATAGTTTTAAATGTGCTTGGCACAAGAGCACAGTGTGCACATGGGAGAAGTTTGCCTTCAGGCAGAAGTCTATCCATTTTAACCCAAACCACATTTTTTTTCTCTGAATGTTAACCAAGAAATCACTTTCTAGCAAAAAAGAAAAGGAAAACTTCTCTTGACAGCATGCAATGTCAAGTACTAGGTATGTAGGAAAACAACAATGCACATGTCCAAAGCCTTTGGCAACAAACCACTGGCTAGAAAGAAAAAGTTTGCATTGTACGTTTTTGCAAACCATGGACACATAACATCTGCATCTTACTGTGTATGCTGAAATGCTGTGGTTACTGTGTGGTTAGGTTTATGCACAAAAACCACTGGGTTACAGTTAGGAAAAGATCATGTGTTGGCTCAAAATACCCAGCTTTGGGGGCACAATCCCTGCTGGAAAAACACTGATGTGTCACAAAGTCAGCTCATATACTAAGTCACTTTTCTACCTCACGACGTCACTGGTGTGGATTGGCAACCTGACTGAACAAGACAACAAACTGAGGAGGTCTGTTAAAACAGCAGATTCAGGACAGAAGGAAGGCACTGAGGACACCAGCCACCCAGCATATCGTCCCTTCTGATTCCTCCCCTCAGGTAAAGGCCTAAAGAGCTCAGACCAGCCACCTCTAAGACAGCTTTTATCCTCAGTGTAGGAGCCTCATGTCTGATTTGTGTTTGAATGCAATAACCCGCCATGCCAGTAGGTGGTGTATTGTAGTGGCTGAGGGAGGCCAGAAAGCACAGGTGCTGCTGATTGAAGGAGGCAAACAGTTTTCTGCTGTGCTCGGATAAAGATTTGTATGGCTGTATTTGTTTTAGTTTTGTATTGGAAAATATGGACATTACGGACACTGGTGAGTAAATGAACGTATGATAGTAAAAGGTATATATTGGTAAAGAATGTTTTTCTGAGTAGCCTACATAGCCAAACAATTCAAGCACAAGCATTTTAAATGTTATGATGTGACACACTGCAAGCGCTGTTGTAAATGTTGAACACCAAGCACTGTTAATGTTTCAAAGTGATTTTGGAGAGTTGGAAAGTTTCCATTAAACAAAATTTTTCATGG